TGGCCACTGCACTCCAGTCTGGGTGACAGTGAGACTCCAACTCAAAAAAAAAACAAAAAACTTGTGTCCTAGTTGCCTTTCCTCAAAGTGCCTACTTTTTATTTGAAGTTTTCTTTTATTTAACATTTATATTTACTAGCAGTTTAACTTTTTTTAAATGGTAATTTTGATGTATACAGTTTATTTCAGAATGGCCTTTTTATGCGCTATTACCCCATTATGAAATGAAACAGACATTTCATTGATGAAAAGCTTTGAAATGGTTTTAAAAATTTTTTGTATGACTAATCAGAATGTGTATGTATATATAAATAAATGCATTTACATGGCTAAAACTAAACTCTTGTAAGATACTCGTTTTTGCCATTATATTTGTTTTAAACTTTTTCTCTCCTTTTTTTCAGCCTTCAGAACCTCTTACATTCCAGTCGAAAACTCTCTCTACAAGTCCTTAACTTTGTTCACTCATTCCAGGTAAGGAGAAACAAAAGGTCCAGGTGTTTGTGGAGAGCTTTGTGGTGTGCTGAACTCTTGTATGTGTGTGTTTCTTAGTCTTCCACGGCAAGATAGGAGATAAGCACACGTTTCGTTTTATCCATGGTGACTCTGAGATTCAAGGTTAATTGACCTGCACACGTCCAGCTCTCGGAGACCACAGCTCCATCTCTGTTCTGTGCCCCTGCCTCCGGCACAGGAACGTGTCAGCATCTGCTGTGGGCGGCTGCACACCGAGCATGGGGCTGGTTCTTGTTGTGGTCACACCCCTTCGTGGCTTCCAGGAGGGCTTGGCTGCTGGGGCGGCGAGGGCCATGCTCCCAGGGGAGAGGGGATGTTCTAGACGTGATAACTTGTGAAATGGGAGACTTCTGTTTGGCTGTCCAACCCAGCGTGATGCAGTCAGGATTTTGGAGTTGTGCTTCATCCAGTCACTGAACACTAGCGTCTCCCCTGTGCCAGACCCTGGGCTACGGGCTGAGGAGGTTGGTGATGTGCGACCAATGGAGCTGATAGTGTCACGGGAGATGGTCATCGGGAAAACTTCAAATGCTCACGTAATGGCAGATTTGTGTGAGTGCTTTGAAGGAGTCAAACTGGTAGAATCTGCCTGTGGATCAGTTTAAATAGGTGAGAGGCGATGCCTAAGCGGAAGCTGAAGGGGTGGAGAAGAGTGTTCTAGGCAGAGTGTGATCGGTGCAGAGCCCATGTCCAGGAAGCTCAGTGTCTCAAGGAACAAGGAGCCCAGCAGGTCTGAAACCACATGAAGGGGGGTTGTGGCACAAGATGGGGTGAGGAGGGCAGGGGCGCGGTGTCCGGACCTTCTGGCATAGGAAAGAAAATGTGAGAGAAAATGTGCAGTTGACGCTGAGCGCAGAGAGAAACAGTGAAAGACTTTTACTCGGGAGAGACATGGTTTCTGATGGACTGTTTTAAATGCGAGTTACTGATTGGAGGACAGCTGAGAAAGGGACAAAGGAGAGGGAAGGTCGAGGTGGGATATGGTGTGGAGAGGGATGACACTTATGATGAAATCGGTATGAGGAGATTGGCGTTGTGGGTGGGGGGAGGGAGGATGGAGAATGATTCTGGTGTTTTTTTTGACGAGCCTGAGGTGTGGTGGCGAGGAGGCAGGGCAGAAGGGAGGCCGTTTCCTGAGCTCCGGGATGGCAAGCCAGCGTCAACACGCGGGACAGCCACTGAAAGGAGCTGTCGGGAAGTGTGTTTGAGCCTGGGTTCTGGAGAGGGCTGTGCTGGACACTTGCGTCCGAGATGCCTGGGTGGGCACGTGTTCTAGTGCTCAGTGCTGGGTTCAGCTTTCTCTCTTTTTTCTGAGTTGGAGTCTCACTCCGTCGCCCAGGCTGAAGTGCAGTGGCATGTTCCCAGCCACCCCAGTGTTGCCCTGCTGGGCTCCGGCGATCCTTCCGCCTCAGCCTTCCAAGTAGCTGGAACCACAGACATGCACCACCCTGCCCAGCTAATGTTTTGATTTATTGTAGAGACGAGGCGTCACCATGTTGCTCAAGCTAGTCTTGAACCCCTGAGCTTAGGCAGTCCTCTCGCCTCAGCCTCCCAAAGCATGTTTGACTTTCTAGAGGTGTCCTCCTATTAGGTAATCCTTCGCACTAGGTCCATCCTGCTAAGAGTTAACCTTTTCTTATGCCTTAGTCCCATAGCCTGTTCTTCCTGTGTACAGTCTGACTTGCAGTAGTCATTTCTGCTCGGTCAGTGCCCACCACTGGCCGTTTGGGCTCACGGTAGGTCATTGCTTTCCCCGAGGGCTTTGCGTCCTGTAAGCATTTCTCAGGCAGTGAAAGCCTATGCTTCTCATCAGCCACCCTAAGTGGTTTAGTGATGTATTGAGTGTAGATTCTCTCTCTTGTTTCTTGTTCTTCTAGGAAGGTGCTTCCACGCTGGATGTCCACACGGAGCCCGGCTTTGCCAGTTTGCTTTCACAGCCGTCCTGCGCTGACATGGGCGTTCCGCTTCCTGCCAGAAACTTGGTGTTTAAAGACGGTGTCCTGTCGGAGTGGAGTGGCCGGTCACCGTCCTTGCCCCTCCTGGCTCATCTCCACCCACAGTAACTTGGTTCCAGCATCCGTTGCTCACACTTTCTGCCTTTTTCTTTCCCAATGTTAGCTTTATGGTATCAGCCACTAAAAAGCATCATGCTGCCGAGTGCAATTTCTGCTTCACTGAAATGAGAGTTGGGGACACGGTCCTGTTTTCTGGAGTTTTACGCATGATTGCACATCCTGTTGCAACAACGTGCTTTTTAGCAGCCAGCACTGCATTTTTTACCTTGAGACAATCTGCATTTCTTTTATAAACTGAGGATCTACTTTATAGGCTTTATGATGACTGTTCTGTTTATAAGCAGTCTCTATGAATATGGCAGTAGAAATTTTATATGTTAGTTATCAGACATAAATCTTGTTTAATTTTATATTTTGTTACCTATACTTTAGGGGATCAAGGGAAGAGATGGAACTCTTCCTCTGCAAAGGCCTCTTGGCACTTAAAGCAGTAGAACTCTGACACCGTAAGTGTCCCGTGTCAAAAGACGATGGGTTGGGTATTAGGAATCCCTGCGGACGTCTGGAACTGTGTGTGTCAGCTACGTGGCTGAAGGTGTGCGTCAGCACAGTCATGTGCCACTCCGCCTTCATTTGTAAGTCTCAGCTCGGACGGTGACTGTCACTGGCATCTCATGAGAAGCTTTAGAAACCTGTTTTAAAACTCTGTTTGTGTGGACTTCTGTTGTCTCTCATCTGGGCTTTGTGTTTTCACAGAGTCTTCGTGGAAGAAATCAAATTTATCTTCCATTCTTGTAGCTGCGGCTGCTGCACCTTTGCGCCTGATTTACCTTTTAATTCTTAGCTCCGATGTTTTCAAACCAAGGATTGTGATTTTGGGGTAGAATCACATATTATAAGCAGTAAGTCTATGTCTTTGGTTCAGAGCACTTCAGTGATAAGCCTACTTTGAGGACATATTCTTAAGCAATCTGGATCTTAAATTTATGTGAATACTTTTATAGCAAATGATAAAGAAAAATGGAGTAATTTCAAATTGTTACTTGAGCCACTGATTCTTTTAGTATCTCAGATGTTGATTAGAATAATTGGAATCACTTTTTAGGCTTTTCAAGTTGCCTTCTTGGGGAGTTTGTGCAGTGTTATAGCTTAGTTTAGCTCCTCTTATAGGTAACGGTTTGCTAGTTTAAAAATGTAACCAAACTAACTGGTCACACAACATGTATCTAAAACACTTAAAGTGTCAGAAAATTCGCAAATGTTATGACCTAAACATTTTTGCTGATAATTTTTGTTATTTATAGGTATTTGTGAATTTAACATACTTCTGGAAATATATGCCTTTCTTAGAACTATGACCATAACCGTACATTCAATACCACAGCCTGTCTGTAGAACTGAATATTCGGACCAGGTTATCAGTGGCACAGTCAGTGCTGTGTTTGGGTCAATGCAGTAATGTTTAGTTTTCTACTGTGTCTTATAGAAAGTAGAAACCATGTGTATGTTATGTTTGTCTATAAAAGGAGAAATACATACTAATATTAAAATAATTTCTTATGACTGTGAATCACTCATTTATTTTTCCAATAATTGATATTGTACATTCCTAGTGCTGTTAGGTATGTATGTAAGTAACTTTCACGGTTTTTCAGCTGAAAGTTGAAAAGTCTCTTCTTTGACCAAGGCTCTTTGATCTTACTTTAATTTGCTTTCTTTGAATTAGCTGTAGTTGTGTTATTTATTCGTATATTAACGGTCTAAACAAACTGTAATGACATGTACACTCATAAAGAATTGAACATTTGTAGCTGTTGGCAGTGTGCCCGGTTGTGGGTGCGTTTAAAGCTTCAAATAGGGAAGTGATTTGCTGCTGTGTTTCTTTTGAGAGAAAATGGAGGAACTAGAGCCCGGTAGTGATCATGAACTGTAGGGAAAGGGCGGAGAAGCGAGGGTCAGCTCTGGTTCCTTGTGTCGAATGAGCAAAGAGGACTCCCGAGTCCCAGCTGAAGGCCTCTCCGGCTCTCGGGGGAGGAGCTGCAGGCCGAGAGCTGTCAGCAGCCTGTGGAGGGCCTACGTCTGTGCTTCGCTTTATGAACTTGGCCTTGTTTTGCTCACGTAGACTCCTGTGGGCTCATAAGTTTTACAAGTGTTGATGCGGTTCAACAAAAAGGAATATCTAGAATGCAGACTTTGTCATTTGCCAAAGAAAATCCACGAAGCATTTTTATCCTGAGGATGTTGAAGTCGTGTCGTCCGACTTGGGCCATTCCCTTCCTTCCTTCCCCCACTTCCTTAATGCAGCTTAAGCCCTGGCAGACTTTTCAGGAAAGTGAACCAGTATCAGAAAGGACATAGAGTTGAGTAGGGTACAGTTTCACCTCCTCTGTGGGCCAAAAGAAATGCAGCTTTGTATCACTTAAAATATCGTCTGATTTCCTTGATTTCTTTTTTTAGCTATGTAATCAGATGGTTTTGTACTTGTTTTTCAGGGGAGTATTGGTTTCTTTTACTTGACGTTTTCGGTTTTCTCTGCCACTCGTGTCTTTTTTATGTTCAGTGTTTCAAATGCAATTTGTAGTTAAAAAATTTTAAAGTACCAAAACTGTAACTGAGTATAGTGGATTGTCCTCTGTTAGGATGTTAATATTATACAATGAAATGTATAAAGCGTTGTCAATTTGATTATTGACACATATAACATGTTTACAAATAAAACTGTGGTGTTGAGCAAGTCACTACGAAAGTGTGTTTAGTCTTCAGAAATTTCCTTTCTTAATTCTAAATGCATCCATGCTTTCAGTGCTGTGGCTTTCCTATCCTTAAAAAAAAAGCTATTGGCGGGCTCGATGGCTCAGCCTGTCATCCCGTGCCTTGGGAGACCGAGGTGAGTGAATTGCCTGAGCCCGCGGGTTCGAGACCCACCTGGGCAACTTGGCGAGACCTAATCTCTACAAAAAATCAAAAATGAGCTGGGCGTGGTGGCGCTCGCCTGTAGTTCCAGCTCCTTGGAAGGCTGAGGCGGAAGGATTGCCGGAGCCCAGCGGGTCGAGGCTGCGGTGGCCAGGAGTGGCCACTGCACTCCAGTCTGGGCGACAGAGGGAGACTCCAACTCAAAAAAGAAAAAAAAAAAGCTATTACTTGTAGTAATTTCAGATGTGCATAAAAGTGGCAAGGACCACTCAGAGACGTCCCCGGTGCCCTTTGCGCTTCCCTGATGTTAACACCTGGGCGAACTGTGGTGCGTCTCTCAAGCCCAGAAGTGAACACCGGCACAATCCTGTTTTCTAAACCAAGACTTTTTGGCTTTCACCAGTTTTCTCCAGGAACGTCCCGTCTGTTTCAGGATCCATTCCAGGATGCCACAGAGCATTTATTCACGTCTCCTTGGCCTTCTCCAGAATGTGACAATTTCTCAGTCCTTCATGACCTCGACACTGTAAAGGGCTGCCCCTCCATGTGGGTTCATCTGGTGTTTTCTCATGATTAGATCGAGGCTAGGCTTCGTCATACAGGATGACATTAGCGTGCCATCTTATCTCGGGCTTGTGAGGCCAGTGTCTGCTGGCGACATTTCTTTGCTGGCTGGGCTGGTGTCCATCGGTGTCTCTGCTGTAAGGCACTTCCCCCCTTTCTGTACCCTGTTCCTTGGCAGGGAGTCACCAGGTCAAGCCGTGCGTGCCTGGCATGAATCCCACTTGGTCATGATGCATTGCCGTTCATATGTTGCTGGGTTGGATTTGTTAGCATGGAGGATTTTTATGTCAGTATTTCTGAGAGCCGTTGGTCTGTAGTGTTCTTGTAATGTTTCTGTCTGGTTTTGGCATTAAGGCAGTTCTGGTCTTATAAAATAAGTTAGAAAGTGTTTCTTCTGTTTTCTGGAAGAGATTATGGGGTATAGGTATAGGTATTATTTCTTTCTTAAATGTTGTTAGAATTGACTAGTGAAGCCACCTGGGCTTCAAATTTTCCTTTTTGGAAGGTTCTGAACTGTAGATTCAACTTATTTAACGTATATTCAGGGTTGCCGTTTCTTCTTGAGTGAGTCTTGGTAGTTTCTGTCTTTCAAATAACTGGTTCCATTTCATCTAAGTTACTGAATTTATGGACATTGATTTTTCATAGAATTATTGTCCTTTTAGTCTGTGGGATCAGAATAAAAAAATAGAAAGATAAAGTGAGGTATTAAAAATGAAAATGGCCGGGCTCGGTGGCTCAGCCTGTAATCCCGCGCCTTTGGGAGGCTGAGGTGAGTGGATTGCCTGAGCCCCGCGGGTTCGAGACCCGCCTGGGCAGCGAGACCTCATCTCTACAATAAATAAAAAAAAAATCAGCCGGGTGTGGTAGCACATGCCTGTAATTCCGGCTACTCGGAAGGCTGAGGTGGAAGGATCGCCGGAGCCCAGCAAATCGAGGCTGCGGTGGCCGGGAGCGGCCGCTGCACTCCAGTCTGGGCGACGGAGTGAGACTCCAACTCAAAAAAAAAAAAAAAAAAGAAAATGACTGAGAATTAATTATCCGGGACAGAAGAGAGGAATCCAGAGATATGGGAACCCCAAGGCGCATCAGTGATGAGTTTAGAAAGTAATTGAGTTGCATCAAAGTACTTAGAGAAAGTGACTGTTGACTTAGAATTGTGAATCCAGCAAAACTGTCCTTCAACAATGGTGAAGAGGGCTAGCCATGAAAGCGACTGAAAATAATTCAGATTATGTATAATAAATAATAAGGGTATCACTAAAAAAAATAGAGTTTATTACTTCTCAACTAGAAGGGAATGGGTGGGAAAATAAGATGGAGAGAGAAATCAGGACAAATTGAAAAGACAGGGTGAAGTGCTCCAGACAGGAGTTCAGGGCCAGCCTGGGGAACATAGCAAGACCCCATCTCTAAAAAAGGTGGATGAATAAAATTAAAAATAGAAGAATGAACATGAATGCTCACATTTACATACCGGTATCTGTGTACTTTTGGGAAGTGCTCCTTTTACTTTCTAACATTCACTCTGCAGGTGGATACAGTACTTTCTAGTTTCTACTTCCCCACAGGCTCTGCGGGTGTTTTCCATGGGTGCACCACGCAGTGATGACGGTGCTGTGGGGATGCGGGTGCTGTCCTTGGCTTCGGGAGAGGCTGCAGGGGGGACCTTCAGTTCCTACTTAGACGTCCTGAGGGCAGAAGTCCCCACCGGAGGTGCCCTGCCTGCTGTCCGGGTCTCCATCAGGCCGGGCCTCTACTCCTGCTTCCCTGTATCCCAGGGGATGGTGACTTCTAGATGCTCTTAATAAAGGACTCTGTTTCCTCCAGATGCTGCTTCCTCTGCCCCGTGAAGTGTCTCCAGCACGGGTCTGCATTCCATCTCCTGCCCTGTGGTTTGGGTGACACCTCTTCGAGTGGATCAGTGATTGTTTCTGGTTCCCATTCTCCATGTGGTTTAGGGGGTGGATGCTGAGAACCAGGTGGAGGGTTCTCTAATGTGTTCAGATCAGAAACCCTCCCAGCGCCACAGGGTCTTGCTTTTTATCAGGGAACATACGAAAGTCAGCAGAATGTGTAGTGAGCCTGGGGTGCCGTCACCCAGCGTCCACAGCAGTCGTTGTTCAGTGCCTTGTTTAACGTACACAAAACAGGGACACTTGTGTGTACCCACACATACACACTCACACTCAAGAAATCACTGCCCCCACCACTGGATTATCTTAAGGTAAACCCCGGACAGCACATCATTCATTCCATGTGTGATTTAGAATCATTCTTAGCTCTGAATTTCTGGAAGCAAATGGTCGTCCCTAAACTGGAAACAAGGCACACATCCCCACGAAACCATTATTACTGACATGTAACATTGGAAGTAACAGCTGATCATACTAGAGGAAGGCACAAAGTAAGAGCTAATCACATCTAAAAGGATGGAAGAAAATGATCATCATCTTTCAGATGATATGTTTGTATGTAGAAAAATGCACAAGAATGATCTGAAACACTGTTAGACACGAAGGACTTCAGGAAGTGACTTTCTTAGCTATAATAGACAGCCAGTTATATTGTTGAAATAATGAAAGAAAAAAGCTTCCTTAATAGCAAAATGTATACATACGTACAATAAAAGATTTTTCCTAAAAGCGAGGACAGAGCCTCAATAAATAAGATGTTGTTATAATCATCCATCTGTGATTAGTTACAAAGTAAAATAAAGTGAAATAAATAAAGTGAAATGTCTTAGTTTGTTCTCTGCTGTAGCAAAATGCCATCGTGTGGGTGATTTGTGAGCGAGCGACCTCGAACTCTGGAGGTGGGAAGTCCGAGGTCAAGGTACTGGCGGAGTCAGTGTCTGGTGCGGCTGTTCCTGGTTCAGTGGTGGCCGTCTTCTCACCATGTCCTCTCGAGGGAACTGCCTCGGGCCTCTTTTCCAAGGGCACGAGGCCTTCTTGGGACTCTGCCCTCCTGACCTCAGCAGCTCCCAAGGGCTCCACCCCTGACACCCTCGCGTTGTGGTTAGGACTTCAACACATGAGCCTGGGTGGACGCAGACATTCGGATCATAGCACCTGGCAAGAAGCTCAACGCGAAACTTGCAAGACCTCCTTGAGGAAGACTTTGAAGCGCTCCTGACGGGCGGGAAAGAAAGCCTGGGCGTTGGGCAAGTAATGCCCTTTTCTGGGATAGGCAGCCTCAATATTGCCAACTTGTCGATTCTCCCTAAATACGTTATGAGTTGTACACGACTTCCTTCAGAATACCAGCAGTTCTTTCTCTGTCTCTCTCTCTCTCAACTTTGGAGCTTGACACAATAATTCTAAAGCTCAGCTTGGGAGAAACTTGGGAGAATAGAAGGGGAAAAAATCTGGGAAAATGTGTCCCCAGCAGGTGTATTCAAGCATATGAGAAGCTGGAGAAATCAAACAGGATGGTACTAATTCAGATTCTGACAGATCACGCAGGGGAGTGGGACGGGGAACTGGAAAGTAGCGCTAACAAGAGACCTGATGTGGCATTTCAGATTAGTAGGTGTGGACTTCGGGCTCATTCGGTAGCCAAGTTGGGGGTAATTGACTACATACTTGGATAAAATACAGCCAGAATCTTGCCCAAACGCTTACAACAAACGCTTTAGAGGATCAGGACTTTAAATATTTTAAGATGTTACCCTAAACGTGGAGACAGGTGATTTTTTTAAATACTCTTGGCATAGAGAAAACCTTTTTACGGATGAATCAAATGCTAGAAGATACATTTTTTAAACCCCCACTAATTATTACAAAATAAAGAAATGAAACATTTTGCCTGCCAGAACTGTATAAACAGAAGAAAACCAAAGACCCTGTATTTTAAAATGAAGCCCGGGGATGAGTGGCTGATCTTCTCAATCCAGAAATCTCCAGATGAAAGCATGATGAACTTCAGTCTGAGTAAATCCTAAGAAAGGCGGGCATTGTGACTCACGCCTGCAGCCCCCGCTACTAGGATGACTGAGCTCAGGAGCTCAGGAGGTCAAGGCTGCAGTGAGCTGTGATTGTGCCACTGCACTCCAGCCTGGGTGACGGAGCGAGATCCTGTCTCAAAAAAAAAAAGAGAAAGTGCTCATTCGTATGCCCAGATCATCGAGTGGGATTTTTCTCTTAGTGAATGAGAAAGCACAGAGCTTTGTGAAACTCCAAGTCTCCTTTAAAATGTTTTGTTGTTTTGTAAGTTTTGCTCAGGAGAAGAAATAATTATTTCCATTTTATTTTTTTGATAT